CAGATAGGCATTTTACATATGTATTTTCAATTGTCTCACTGATTTCTATTGGTGTATACAATTACTCCAAGTGGGATAATTGCAAAAAATGTTAGTATTTTTTCAATTTACTGTTTCTGTTACTTAAAGAGTTTACAGTAAGATTCTCACCGACTGTAGAGAATTACTAGTTCTACCTACCTGTGAAAAAAATCACTAATCTATCTTATAAGACTGAGGAGAAAACTGATTTTTACTAGTCCTATCTAAAATGGCTCGGAGTTTGCAATTGCCCCAAGTGGTGTCAATGCAAACAATTTGTAGGAACTACCAGAAAAACACCGATTGAACGACTTTGAGCAATCGATTCTTGATGATTTTTAGATGAGCTTGTAGAGGAGATGTCTCTCTACATGTTTTAAGAAAAAGTAGAAAAAAAATTCCAAAAAATGCCTGAGTTATCATAGATACAAATGAAAAGAGTGATTTTTTATTTGCAATTGCCCCACTCTACTCTATTTTAGTTCGCTCTCTTAAAGATTTTTTAAAATAAAATCTCAAATCGTCTTATGCATTTGGTTTATTCGAACAAATGAATAGAATAAGATGTATTTTAATACAATGATAAGATACGAATTTGATAAAGAAAAATAACTAATTGGACTTATTCATATGTTAGAAAATATATTTCTATTCGTTTCTATTTATTGTTATTTTGAAAGAACACTTTTATTCGTTTGTTGTTAACATAGAACGAATAAACAAAATTTTTACTATAAAATAGAACATCTAGTCATCCTGAATTTGTTTAATAAATATCTAAGAATAGAGTTCTAGTCAAAAGATGAATAGTTATGTAGTGAAGGTTAAATTTTTAATAAATCAATAAAATATTCAACTATATATATATAAAGTTAGTTTTATTAAGTACTATTTGATTAATTTCAAATGAAAAAGCTATTTGAATATATCAACTCATATGTTCAATAAACAAAGTCTATTTGAATAAAATGATCTAAACCATATAAAAATTTTCTTTGATGTTCATTTTTTATTCATCTAAAAATCTTCATAATTTATTTTCTTTCAAATCACACAACTAATTTATCATTTCAATCCTTTCTATATATCTAATCACTCTTACAACATTTCAACAAATTTCAAAAGTACTTTAGAAAATTTTTTGCACAAACAAAAGAAAATCAGCCTTTTTCATCAAAAAAGTGATGCTACTTCAACTCTTGACAATAAATCATTAAATTTATTTTTTAAATAATCACTATTAAATGAAGGATAGAGAAACTGTGGATTTCCAACATTCAATAATACTAGTTTAAAAAAATCATCATAATGTGGTAATTTATAAGCATTTGAGCATATGCATGCTCGGAGGTGTTTTGATGTTGGATCAAATCCATAGATTGCGTGAATGAATGAATCAGATCGTGAATTATGCAAGTCCTTTTCTTGACCGGCATATTGCCAAATAATAAAAGTATGAGGAATTGATGATCGATCATAGACGAGAGTAGAATCAACTATATAGTTATTTGGATTATCATCATCATCATCCTCTTTATCTTTACCATCAGGTTTTTTTTCTGGTAAATTAAAACCAATTAAAGTCAATTTAATTTTACTTAAAAATAAATCAAATTCATCAGATGGTAAACTACTATTTTCTTTCATTCTTTTATTACATTGATCACATATAATATTAATTTTACTTTTTAATGTTATATAGTTATTATTATTCCAACCTCCAACTATAAAGATATTTTGAATCATTGCAGATGGTTCTAATCGATGAAGATTATTAAATGTTGTCTTCAAAAACATACGTGCATCATCGATAGAACATGTTACTGACGCA